TAGAAAAAAAAAGCAAATCAGTTGCACATATCTTACATATTTAGCATCAGCCCAGCCACTCTTTGGGGACCACATTTTTCCTTCTCCAATTAATCCCAGAGCAAGATGAGAGAGGGGGGCCAAGTCTCCACTGGCTCCAACTGTCCCTTTCTCTGGGATATATGGAAGGCAGGATGCTAGAAAGAAAACATAAATGACTCCTGTTAGAGCTTCCCCTTGATATACTCCTTGGAAAACAGAGAAGCCAGCACATGAGTGTGGTCACAATAACATCCTTCATTCATGGTCAATGGCAGCAACAGGACTACTCTTGTTGCAGACCGAGATTTGTCCCTGCTTGCAGGCTAGCTGCAGTTTATAGACATAAATTCCCTTAGTTCTGCATTTAGTTTTGGAGTGTGTGGACCACAGCCCAGGGTGACTGTATCTACATCTACATACAGCCAGGCAGGTAGAACATCACTCCTCTCAGTTCGCCATTGCAGGGTGACTACCTGGTGTGGACAAAGCTACCTCTTCATTTCTCACTCCACTAAACATTGGATAACAACTACAAACCATCTTTGGAGCCCTCTTCCCCCTACCCCAGCCCCCTGAGCACTGAAAGTGTAGAAATGAAGAAATGGAGCCCAGAGAACTGCAGAAAAAGCAAGAAAGGGATCAGTTTCATTTCTTTTGCAGAGTTAAACACTGAATTGCAGCTCCTTCATTTATAAGGGAGAAGGAGGAGTGCAAGAGAAGGCAGCACTGCAGAGAGAAAGTACTCTCTGCTCATCACAGCCACGCTGCCTTGCCTCACCAGATGGACCATTAACAGACATCAGCTAATGAACAGCACAGACACCCCTTTGGTTTCCCTGTTGCAGCATCTGGCAAGGCCATCCAGTTTTAACTGCTTTGACAGCCATGGCCACATGAGCTGCTGACCAGCCATGTTGTTCTGCATGGCTGCCTTGCAGCCCTTGATCATGAATGCTTATGTAGGTCTCAGGCTGTCTACTCACAAAACAGGTGCTGCTCAAGCAGGTCTGCTTGAAAAACACAATGTGCAGTTTTCTATGTGGTAATAGCTCCACCCAAAAAGCCTGGCGGCCCAAAAGATGGTGGCACATGTGACAGAACAAACATTAGACACTTGAGCCTTTGTGTAAGAGCTTGCCCAGTCAGTCATGTTCTCAGTCAAGCTGAGCCTTGAACTAATTACTTGGCCTCTTAAGGGCTCATTTCCCAAACTTCTACCTGTTGCATCCCTTTCAGTCTTTCCTGTCACTTCTGCTCACATGCATGTTCTTCAACAGAAGAATGGTCTCTAGCCATGATCTTCTACAGGACTGGTCACAGCTGAGCTTTGGTCCTGAACTCTCACAACTACCAAGTCAAAAGACCAACATCCATAGATTGATCCATCGAGCTACACCCTTTAATGAAACAGAAGAGGAAAAAAAAGGGGGGAGGGGGATTTTCTTTAAACATCTTTTTACCATTAAACGCTTCAATAACTTGCTGGAGCGTTTCTAGGGATATTCCACTGTATCCTTTTGCTAGGACATTGATCCTCAGTGCCAACAGCATGCGAGATCTCTCTGGGCTCAAAGGTTTCCCCACACCTGAAACAGTAACCGTCTCAGTTACCAACCCACTACCAACAGTGGCAGAAAAGGGAAAACACCAAGCAATTTCTTATTACCTGCAGAATGTGAACGAACCAAGTTCACCTGAAGCTCCCTATGGAAAAAAAAAAAAAAAAAGAAAAAAAAAAAGTAAAAACCCAAATAAGTCTTAAAAGGTTTTATTTTGCACAAAGCAAAGGGAAATACTGAAGCAGCCCTCTCATCTAACCAAGGAGTACAGGGTTGAACTTCTCCCTCCTCTTCCTTTCCAAAAAGAAAGGATGGAGAAAGCTCGCCCCACAATTTACCTCAGCTTACTGTTTGGAATGACAGTCCTGGCAAACTTCCCAAACCCTGTTGTGATTCCATAAACAACTGCAAGAAACATACACTGCTGGTTAAGGAGGGAACTTGATAAAGTGTTTTTTTAAATGAGTAATAGTTAGAGGCAAAAATATTCACCTGTCTGTTCCTTTATGATCCTTTCAATCACTTCTCGTGATTGTTTGACTTTAGCTTCAGCTTCAGGTGTGAGCTGCAACATAGTTTAAGTAGAATTTATCTATAATTATTTAATTGTAGAAAGATACATATTTTTTTAGCTATGTTTGTTCAGGATCTTTACCTTTATCTTGTAGAGCCCCTTTCCTAAATTGACCAAGTCCTCCGTTGTTAGGCTGTTGCCATCTAAAGAAATATACTACACCAAAAAAACACCTTTTAGTTTGGGATATGTATAAAGTTGCTTAATAAACAGTATTTTTAAAAAAATAGTCAAAACTCAGCAATGACAGGAAGCTTACTCACACTTATGCATAAGACAGGAACTCGCTAACAAGAACATAAGCAGCACATTATAATTTAGATTCCTAGACCCAGCCAGTCTAACACCCCCTGCTCTCTCGAATGCAGCAATAGCTGAACTCTCAGCACATTCTAGTAAACAGCAGGATCTGTTACCAAGTTGTAAAATTACTGGCAATTCCTACCTGTTCTGGTTCTCGGTATTTGCTGTATCTGAAAGTTCTGTAAAGGAAAATAAAGGGCAGACAGGATTTCACATGTAGTGACCATTCAATTACAGCTGGTAATGGGTTTTAAGAACGAACACTAGAAGAACAGGGAAATCTAGAAAATTATAAATCTGGAGTTGTAACAAAGTTCACAAAATGCTCAGAAAAGGATACAAATGAACTCCTTCTGGCTGAGATGGTATGAAATCTGGAGACATTATATCTCCTTCTATAACTAGAAGAAATATGGAAATAAACATGAACAGTATTACATTGTATTCTCTATACAAATTAAGTTGTTATTCATTGTGATACACACCTGTAAGAATTCTAATTTGCAGTTATCAGCCCCAAATATATTTGTATGCTTCTAGGAAAATAAAGGACTATGTAGCTTAGTTAAGGTACTCTAAAGGCAGAAGAGCCACCCAACCCTTGGACACATGGTCCATATCCCATACAATCATATAGCATATATGATATCATATACAAATGATGTGCATAAATCCTGTAGCTTCTATACCTTATATAGTTCTATACTTAAAAAGGGTGGATTTTGATATTTTTCCATAAAAATCATTGACACTATCTCAGAAGCAGTTTTAGATAAACTAAATGACAGTTTGCTGACTCAGATGCCTACAGTCACTCTGCAATGCATTGCTTAACATTTTGCTTACCAACTTCAACAAATTCATTGTCCTCTAGAGCATCCTCCACTGTATCATCAAGATCCAGCAAGCCAAGTCCCTTGCACCTTCGAATGTAAAATTTTACTTTTTCCACGGAGGCAAATCCCCCGTTGTCAGGTTTGTTTTTCATGTACCGTCTCACAGCTTCCTTTCCCAGCCACCTGATCGTGTTCGTGCCGTTCAGGCATGGCACTGCGAGCCATTCCCCTCGGACATGCACCGTGTATCTCGGCATGCTTTCTCTCCAAAATTATCCCTTGATCAAGAAGGGCTGCAGTGTGCAGCAGCCTTACATTTACCACGTGACAGCTTAACAGCAGGGTCTAGCTAGAGTCCAGTGTCGCAATCAGATATCAGCAAAAATCCACCCCCAAAATCCCCACCTTTGTAAATAAGCAAGATCAATGCATCCACCTGACTTCATCCAATCAAACCAAAGCCTGGGAGCACACCCTTTTCACAGAAAGGCAAAAAAATCCCAACCCTATTATCTCAGGATTTTTTTTCCAAAGATCACATCAGGTATACGGAAATGAAAATTTGTGAGCTGGAATTTATGTAGCAAGAATAGATAAACAAATCAGAATAAGCTGGAATGCAACTGTTCTAAAAACTTAAAAGGTTTAACAGAAGTTAATGGAGCAGTCACCTGGCACTAACAGAAACCTCTGTGAGGGACAGGGCTGGAAGACAGTCACCCTGTTATGGGTTGGCCATGGCTGCTAGGATCAAAAGGAAACTGGATTATACCCATATGCTTTTATCCAGAGTAGGATGAGAGCAGGCAGAGTAGGAAGCAAGCCTGCTTTGCTCAGTCCAGATTGAAGCTAGGGAACACAATTTTGTATCATAGGGGAGGAGAAGATTAATGGGTTTCCCTCCGTTATCCCTTCACTTATGGTCTGGAAGATGTTGCTAGAACACGTCGCACAAATATTAGGCTGCACCTGCTAGTACTGAGGCTGGTGCTGATACATCATGCCTCTTTTCCAGGCAGATGCAAAGTGGAAAAGATGTGGAGAAATACCTGTTTAAGGTGGTATCAAAATAAAGTTTAGCAATGACCATGTCCACACAGAAACTGAACATACATGTCTTTAAAGACAAAACAGTAACAACACTTGTAGTCCGTGCTACCCAAAATAGCATTCTCAAATGGACTATAAAGTGCACTTACCTGGGGTGAATTATTGTAGGGAATTTTCCCCTGAGACCCATCAATGTCTCTAAGTAGGAGATGTTGCCCCAGCACAGCAGGACAACACTAGCAAAAGCCATGCCTGCCACTTTTTTCCTTCCCTCCAGTAGTTCCAACAGCAAGAAATCAGGATTAGCTGGCAGCATGAACTCCCAACTGCCAAATCACTGCATATGATATATGGGCTTTTATGACAAAATGTTACCCCAAAACTAGTAACATAAACCATTTCTGAAACAAAGAACAGAAGTTCTCAGTGCAATCTGATAGCTTGAACCAGAACCTGTTAACACCAGATACCCCTCCTTCTACCAGACTGAACGAACTGCCTTAACTTTAACCTGAAATATAGAAAAATTCTCAGTGAGTTTTCCAGCAGAGGTTATCACTCATTCCAAGGAGAAGCAAGAGAATGAGTGGCTCGTTAGGTCCTTAACACAAGAAAGCGTGTAAGGACTTTACACACAAGAAAATGACAATAATTTTGTTCCAAAAAAGCCAGTATTTTATTGCGTTTATTAAAAGCTGAGTGTCACAACATTCATAGAAAGAATTTGAACTGGGTTTTGAGCCTCAATCACCTAGGAGTTAATTTTTCTCTCATTTTTATTTAAACTACGTAGACATATGTAGGATAAAGTTGAATGGAAGAACTCGGGATGCCTTGAATCAATAAAATCCAACAAGATATGTTCATGTCTTAATTTATATTAGAGCTTCCAGCATGAAAAGACGAATCTCCTGGTAAAGTACATAATGTCATCTACTTGAAAGCTTATACTGATCAAAATTCGGAAGAAAAATAAACTGACTTATAGGCCCTCCACTCCCACCTGAAGTGCTATTATTAAATCCAAGCCTTTTGCCATGACCTGTATCTGGTATCCTCCTCCTCTAAACAGCTTTTTTTTTTTTTTTTTGGTTACTCTTTGATATGGGATTATCTCTATGTCAACAGATTAATTTATGCTGATTGTCTCCAGGAAAAGCAGTTATCAGTCACTTCAAAACCCGATCTACAGATGGCAGTATTCACAAGTTTCATCTAAACCACCGACTGGCACTGAAGTGCTGTAACAATTACAAGAAAAACAGCCCTTCAATTGTTTTTAAACTTATCTCTAAGATGTTACATTAGTGTAAGCGGTAGTGCCCAGAACTGGTTAAAAAATGCAAATATTAAAAAATTCAAACTGCAAAATTAAAGACTTGGGCTTTAGTGCTGCCTGCAATTATGAGAAGTTCTGGAAATATACAGTGGGTTGAAAAAATTTGGAAAAAGTTGCTAAAACTAAAATTTGGTTAAAATCCCAAGTTTGTTAAAAAAAGAAAACAAAGTATTATTTCAGACAACTATTAGTGCACAGCATAGGATCCATTAGGAATAACCAAGTAAGACCATGATATTGTAATTAACGCAAGGAATTGACTAACATAACAAAGCCATGACAAATAGGGCTAGATGGAAATTCTGCTCTAACACTGGAATGCTGTGATCCATTTAGGTCTTCACAGTCCTCCTGGACCCAAAATAAAAATTTCTCCCACAACAAAGAAGGGCAAATGAAACAAAACTATTATTTCAAAACTTTTCTTATGGATCAATACACAGACAAGTAGACAATGAAAAGATTTATTTTTTCATCTTCAGATACTTGGAAATTTCACCCACATTGCTACGAAAAAGAAAGCTGTCCACAAGGAGCCGTACCATCCACCAATTAATTTTCCATGTTTTTAAATTCCATGACTGACAACTGACTACATCTCAGAACAGCTTTTTTGTGTGTTCCAAAAATCACTTGTAACAAAACCATTCTCCCAATTCCAGAGATTTAGCAATTTTGCTCTTTTATGTGGAAAGGCAAAACAAAGTACTGAACTTGATTTGGAAAATACATTTTTAAGATAAATTAGTACCAAAGCAGCAGAGCATTTTATGGCAATAATCAAGCACGTATATTAACTGTCTGTGGAATCAGTCTCTTCCTTCAGCAAGAAGAAAATTTCAAAGAAATCAGTAAATTTATCACTGATCCTGTTTCAAGTCTTTGCCCACAAGCATTGAAGTGACTGGGTGCATAGAGGCTCTATGCTCCAGAAATGTCTTGACAGCCAGATCTCGACACTTGTCAAAACTGTAAAGGTCCCTGTAAAAGAAGAACAGGGGAAAAAAATACAGAAAATCCTGTATTATATCACTTCAAAACATAAATATATGATGGAATATATAATACTTGACGCTGTACATGTAAAAAATGTCAACAGCATGAGCTCCTACAATTTGGAGATTACTTTTACCTGAACAATGGTCGAGTAAACTTCATCCTGCCCTGATCTGTTGCCATTTTTAGAGCCAGAGGAATAGCTTCTTCCCACTTGGACTTGATGCAGAGGCGCAGCCATCTGGGGAGGACAGGGAAGTACACTTTTATTTTCATTTGTGGTGGTTAGTTGTCTTACAATTCTATTCCTACAGACACTCTGGGCAGTGCTGTGTCATCATAAGAATGAGATTCTAGCTAAGTTAAACATAAAATATTTACTGTCTGACTAGCATGTTACAAAAGTGGACTTTCATATAAAATAGGAAAAAAATTGCTCCAAAGTTTCTCCAAAATGGTCCGATAATTTTCTGCAGCTATATTTTTCTTTTATATTACAGTAGTTCCAGCTGCATCATTCAGAATTAGAGCAGCACTTATTGTATCTGACCAAGCAATTAAAAAAACCCAAACAAAAATCCAAACAGAACATCACCAGCAACTGGTACGTGCCTGTTTTCTTTTAAAAATAAGAAAAAAAAAAAAAGATCTTATTACAAGTAGAAAATGTGCCGTACGTTTAAAATACTTAGGTTTCTTAATAAGGAACAAAGAACTCCAAGTTAGTTAAGGCAGAATAACTGTCACTATTGCAAATGTATCCAAGTATGTAACAGTAGCAAAATATGCAATACTTCAAGATACTTGTGAAGATTACTTATGTTTAAAAAAACCGTATTGTTGAGGACAAGTGACACGTGTAAACACAACATGCAAACACAAAATAGAAGAAATGAGGATGGCGCAAGAATCAAGTCATTTAGCTAGAAGCATTTCCTACTTGATTAGAAATGTACTTTGATAAGACAAAAGCTTTGTAATAGCGAGCACTAAAACAGGACAAAAAATTTCAAATTTGTGATGAAAAAAGCACCAGAACATCAACAGAAGAACTGATTAGGTAAGTCCAGAAGACCTGGCCCTGACTAACTATTGGAAAATTTTTTCAGGCATCTATCTCTGAGTCACAGAAAAGCTGTATTGTTTAATACCACCCCCAAAATAAGTTATTAACCCACTAGGTTGCTTTGCTAGCATGACAGAGCAAAATAAAGCATAGCTAATCCACTGGTCACTTCTGGTTCTTCTACTAGACTATATTTACCCAATTACTAAGTAATGGAATACCACTCTGGTAAGCATGCTTGCACGTGCACTAAAAAAACAAAACAAAACAAAGCAACCCAAAACCCTGCACCAGTTCTGTACAACAGTGTGTCTCGGAGCATTTATGAAGCAGGACACTGTTTTATGAAAGCATTTAAGATTAGAAAAATGTCCATGCTGGAACAAACCTGAATCTTATTTCAGAATTGTTTATAGCATTGAAGTCATATACTTGCTGCATTCGCTGGACATGTGACACTGGAAGAGGAGCCTGAAAAAGAAAACTGCAGTCAGAATAAGCCAGAGGCAGACTTTAAACCATGTACTTCCAAAATAAACAGGTTCATTCAAGAATATTGATGCTACAAAGGAATTAAAAGTTTACCATGACAAATATTTGTGTTTGTTCCCTTTCACCTTCTCATAGTATTAGGAAAGAGGCAAGGAAAAAATGTTAGTAAATTCCCACATCCAGTACTACCAAAAAAAGGATTTTCATTCTGTTTTATTTAGATCTTATTTGCTATAATATCAAATACAGACTAATTCAAGCACCTTATGCTTTTGTTTTTACCTTTCAATCCAAAATGCTCTATATGTTGCTTGCTAGCTGAAGAGCCAGACATAATCAGGGAGGCATGGCTGAAGGTTTTAGTAATTACGTATGAGAATGGATTATTTTAGCAAAACTCAAAACAGCTTAATTCCAAAGCACACTTGGGCTTCCGTGTCTGTTTTTATGATACCAGAATCAAGTTGCCACAGGTGTGCATTTACCTCCAGAAGCAACAGTGCCAGGAACTCAATCAACTGATGAGATGACATTTCCTTCAGGTCTGCTGAGCTGAATGAGCCCAAGTCACTCTCTTTTGCCTAAAAGAGAATAGTTTAAGTTTTTAATAGGTATTTCAATAAACAATCAGGTGTAATTTTTTTGTTTGGACATCCACCTTTACTATTGAGCCATTCCACGTAAAAAAGATACTAATTTGTATTTGTGCATGATGTTACAAGAAGGGGAGTGAGGGAATTAAGTTACTGTCTGATGTTTGGTATTCTTCAATTTTCACTGATTTTTTTATCTCCCCTGTCTTTCTGTTAAAGTGAAAAATCAAATACTTTTAATATAAAAAGTAACACTGAGAAGAAGAAAGATAACATACAAGTATAGTGAAAAGCCACAGAACTAAAAAAAGGAAGGTATGATGAATTCTCTATTAGTTGTATGAGTTTTATGGTTAACATTATGAGAAAACTGTCTGATATTAGTTACTTATTATGATTTATGTATTTCAGTTTTTGATGAGAAATGCATAATAGCTCCAGTATAATGTAGAGAAATCAGTAACGCACAGATACCTTGGCATTTGTTTTTCAAACAAGCTATAATATCTGGGTTTCAAAAAAGTATTCTCAGTTTGGTTACTACATGCATGTAACAAAAATCTGGATGTGTGCCTTGTTAAAATGTACTGCATGTACAGAAATCATGGCAAATCCAAAGACTCTGTGACGAAAGGCTCGTCTATGAAATGCAAAATCCCTGGCAGCTGTGCCATCACCATAAATACACTCTCTCAGCAAATGGTAGATTTCAGAAGAGAATGGCTCAATTAGTATGAAGAGAACTAGCTTTTCAGGATACGAACACTTCATTGTTCCTTAGCTACTCACTTTGATCCATCTTTGGCTCAAGGCAACACAAGCATTTGCTAGTGTCATATCATACCTGTCAAATATTAAAAACAAAGGATCACACTTTGGAAACACAAAAAGCTCCTGTAATATTTTTATAAGAATGCCTATAAATTATTTTCAAATGACTCCACATTGCTGCAGTTTCCAACTCAATATTGCAACACAAGTTACAAAAGATCTATTATGAAGAAATATATTTCAGTTTTGGTGAGAAGTACTTTGTGTATAGGTGACACTATCCCTTGATCCTGTACATTCCTAACATGATCAATACTTCTGAGCATGCATGCTTGTACATGTATTATAGCTTATAGCTGAAAAGAGAACACTGTTTTAACAAACAGAAAAAATAATCCTTCCTGGAAACTCTTAAAGCAAAATAAATTTCCACAAGAATAAAAACCTGAAAGTATTAACAGCAACGTTTTTTTCTCCTAAATACACTTATATCAATCTCTACACAGTACTAGGACATTTTCTAATAAAACACTGTGTGAAGACTTTCAACCTGCTTATAAACTGCTTTATGACCATTTGGAAAATCATGTGCAATCTAGAGAAGAAGATACTATAAAATAATGCAGCTTACGTAGGCTTCACTGGTGGCATTCCTGGAGCATGAAACCACAAGTTCCAATCAACTTTATCAAGAACATCTACCTACAAAGCAACACAAATTCTTATTGTTGTAAGTATAATTTTTAGAGAAAAGTATATCCTAAAAAAGCTAAATTAAATCTTTTTTTTTTTTTTTTTTTAACATCCATCCAATTAACCTGGAGAATCCTATATAGATTACTTCAAAAGAAAATATTGCCTTCTAGAAAGAAAAAAAAAAAAAAAGCGCATCATAATGCAAAACCATCTTCATGAGATTCCAGACTATATCATAAAGAACTGGTCCTTAAAGAAGGTAATTCTTGAGCTATGACATACTTTCACATAATTAAAAAATTTTAAGTAATTAGTTTTAAATACCACTCAACCTTATCCTTGAAGTAGGAGTACAAAAACTTCTTCCAGTCCTCAGTTACTATGCTCTTATAAGCAAACTGCTGAATGTAAGCCTTCAGGAAGCCAATGAAAACATCTAACAATTAAAAAAACAAACATTTTAGGTTTTGAAAATACAATGGGAAACAACAATATATAAAGTCTGACTAACACTTACCTGGTCCTCCAAGAAGTTGTTCAAGGTAAAAAAGCAAAGCAAAGCCTTTCTCATAGGGAACAGATGAATATGCAACATCAGGATCTACTTCATTCAGATTAGGGATAAGGTTAGTTACAGGATTTTTATCTCCAAGAGTATTTATCTGTGACAAAGACACAAGAAAATACATTCATCTAGGAAAACTAGCATTCTTGAAAATCACTGCTCATCCCATCCTATTTATAAAGGTATAATCCATCCAAAACTAAGATGACCTCATTTCAAAGTATTCTTCCTCACTTTTTCCCGAAGTTCTGAATCTGCACGAATTCCCTAAACTTTTTTCTCATTTTGTTTTATCCGTGTCTGACAGCGTATCAAATAGAAAGATGTTAGGATCAATCACCCTGTGCTCCAGTTATCTCAAAGCAGTTAATTACCATCATGTCTGTCATAATCATGAGCACCTAGTAAACTATCTATATTTATCCCTTTATTAACAAACTATTTAAACTACTTGATTTAAATAGGTGGTATAAAGCATAAAATACAATGAGGAAATATTCATAGCAAACTAGGTAAACTGCATCACCTGAAACTGAATGAGAGGGAGATCTACTATCACGGGCTGGAAATCTGAAAGCTAAACTGTGCTACCTAAATACAAATCTAAAGAACCATCCTAGTCAGTAACAGATTAGGAATATCCTCAATTATAATGCAGTACACAGGAAAAAGAGCAATCAGTTACTTGCATGAGGCACTGGAAATTCTGATCATGCTTGAAGATAATTTCAACAAGCTTTCAGTTGCCTACTGGTATGCTAACAGGTAATACTGCAGCTCAGCCATACGCAGAACAACTTAGAATCTGTAATGATATTCACCCTTGCAGAACAGCTTAAAAAAGTTCAAAGCTTTATATAACCTCCAAGTATATTACTACCTTGGGATGAGAACATATACCTTGGAATCAAAGTTGTTCATCCTCTAATAAGAAAGTGTTAGAAAAGCTGACTAGACAAGTCTTTTTAGTGCAAAACACATGAAATCAGCTTAATTTTATTTAAACATAGAGTTATCATAACATTAAAAATATTTACCGTATTCTGCAGGTCCCTCCAACCGCCTAGGGCTTGAAAGTGCCTGAACTGCTCACCAAACAACCGACCACCAATCCTGCGTTCCAGGTACACTGTATGTCCCTCATTCAGCCTGGAAATACATTGATAAAGCCAGCACTGGTAGGATGGCAAAATTAATTTAGTTGGTCTCTTTACAGATTAATGTTAAAATATGATTTGCATGGCACTGAACGTCACACCTACCAAAAATGCTCCCATGTTTTGTTTGTTACCAAGTTTCCTGTCCAGCTGTGAGAGATTTCATGAGCAATAACCTAAAAACCAGAAAACAATGACAGAACTACTGTTTAGTCTCCTCTGGAAAATGAACATCAAATCCCAACAGAAATAAAAAAGTCCTAATGGGATCTCATTTACTGCACTCTCTTCCCAAAGCCAGTCAGAATTCACAGCTCTGTAAATTTATCCAAATAAATTCTATTTAGAGGACTAGCGCTCTCCTACCAAACCTTCTCCAGAAGTAATTTTGAAAGTGCGGCCTGCAAGCCATACAGTCACACTGATCAACCAAAATAATTCCTCTAGTAGCACAGTGCAGGTACTTGTTTATGAAATCACATTTCAGAATATTGGATCCACATCAAGTGATGGACTAGTACTACTTCCCCACCTCAGCAACTGCTGTAGAGCTGGGAAGTTCCAAAATATCAAACAGCAAGAAAACAGTCACCCCTAGATGGATAATGATGCATAATACTTTTTTTAATGTATCCATGTCAAATACTTCAGTGTTGTCAGGAAAAGACAATCATATTCTTCTTTGGGCTTTTTTAAGCAGTGTATTGGTCTAGTAGAAAGACAAATGAGGTAAAACAGCATCCAGAATACTCAACTTCCCAGAAAAATATAGAATTTACTCAAATCATACTCATTTTCCACTTTAAAAGAAAACTGTACACAATGAGAGTTCTAGTGTCTATACAGATATAGGGAGGAATAAGTTTCTTACAGTTTCAGTGAGATCAATTCAGTTCTGGTTTTTAAACATTATACACAGGACAGGAAAAGAGCTATTGAGTAGCTAAATTCAGTCAGTCCTCTATGCATACAGGCATGCCTGGTTTTTATCTGTTCATTATATAAAACAAATATGTCTCCAGTTTTTCTAGAGTTTACTTAGAACTAAAATGCACTTTTTAAGACTTCTTTTAATTCTCCCAATGAATAAAAGACCAAGTTTTCGGGTATCTGTTACAAAGGAAGATAAGATGCAACTTCAAGTTGTGTTCTACTTGAAGACATGAAACTATTTTGCACTTACATTTGATAGAGATCGATCACCTGCCTTAAAAAAAAAAAAAAAAAAAAAAAAAAAAAAAAAAAAAAAAAAGGCAGTTGTCAGTTCAAATAAACCTCAAAACATACCACTTAATGCAGTTTCATGTATGATACCTAACTTGAAAGCAGCAGGAATATTTACAGTTCTTTCTAGGGGGAAGATTAATCCAATTTGTGGATTAATATAAGCAAGCCCTAAGGGAAATCTGACTTTCATCAGTGTTGCACTTACCAACAGTGTTGGAGTTACAAAAGTAAGACAAGGATTCTCCATACCACCATAAGGAAAAGAAGGTGGTAAGACTAACAAATCATACTGCCCCCATATATAGGGTCCTGCTAAATCTTCTGCTGTTTTCAGCATAGCTTCAGCCTGAAACAAGAATTCACATTAGTTTCTAACATGGCTTCTGACTTCAAACACTGAACAAGTTATAAACTATTGATCCCATTCGTTCTCTCCATATTGATCCTTCATTCTCTCTTACCTTGGGATGTCCCACATGCAAAATGATTACAAGACTGTATCAATATTTATGTTGAGTAGTAGCTTTGTGCTGTGATAAAAGAATAGCATTTTTTGGGGTGGAAGGTAGAGAAAGGAGGACTACAGGTGAACAAACCACTGAACTACAATCTGTTCCTTTCCCAAAACTATGTGAAACAGTTTACAAAACATGTTTTAATTACCGACCTCAGCAAATTCATAGGCTGATTTATCCACTAGCTCCTTTTCAGCCCACACCAGTGTCCTTGGGCCAATCTTTCTGTTTAAAATAAAAATGACACTAAGACACCATGAACTGGAAAGAATTCTATGAGAAACTAATTGAGAAAGGATATGTTTAAATGTGCTTGAGTAACCCATGTTGGTGAAGAAACTTAAGAGAGTCTTCCTCTACTTTTCCTCTCCACTGCTACAGTAACACTAGAAAAAGCTTTAGACAAACCAAACCCACACACATCCACTGTTCAGGACAAATAAACAGGAAACATATTTAAAGATTTTAAAATGCTGTAAAGTCCTAATACAAAAGCATTATTATGGGCTAGATTAACACAACCTTGTGCAGATGAGCAGCAAGGCTGAAGCTATCATTTTCTGTCTTTTGTACATTACTTGTTACTGAAGGAAAAAAATATTATTGCCAGAGGTAGAAAAAGCCCTTAGTGGTTCCAAACAATTTCAAACTCTTCAGGGTATTTCTTTAACTTACAACAAAAGTATATTCTATAGAAAAAATGATGCAAGAGTGATTCAAGATACATGCAGTTGGATACAAACAAACAGGCTCACTGAAGCTCTAAGAGCTTTTAAAACTAGAAACAAAGACCAAGAAACAAACAAAAAAGGTAACTCTGAAAATTTATTATGATTATTAATACATATACTCTGTGCAGATTCACTCACCTGCTTTCTAAAGCTCCAACCACTAAAGCAATCAAGTAGCAAGGTATGGGAACCTAATGGAAAACATGAGAAAAAAAAATAATCTTATCTGTAATGCAAGTTATCAACACCACTGATTCAGTCAAAGAAAAACAAAAGCACGCAAGTAAAGAAGTGTATGCATTTCCTCCAGAGATTCCTGCCTTATGTTATAATGAACGTATCGTTTTTTCTCCCCAAATGATATTCCTTTATCTACAAAATCTACTTGTTTCATTGATCTTTTATGCAATTACCACAAAATTGTAATATCCTCTCTGAAGAAAAAAAAAAATCTGTCCATCTAAGACTATACAGAAATGCCACCGGTTTGCTTACTGTTCAAAAGATAGTTTTCCATATTCACTTGAGTACCACTGACTTTTATTGAAGGAGAACTTAAAAAGATACTGCTTGGGTAACAGACAGTTGTATTACACAAAATGAACGAAAAGCTTTAATGAATTCCATTGAACAAAGTATATTTATGGATAAAAAAGATTCAGCAAAATAAAAATGTATATATTTGATTTCCTTATTTGGAATTAAAATAAATTCTAAATATCTGTTTTTTAAATGAAAAAAATCCAAAGCTACAGTGTCTTTATAGAGAAATTTTTTCTCAGTGCTCTGGAAAAAAGAGGATAATGCAGCCATTCCTGTCAAAGTTCCATTTTATCTGACTAAACGCTATTAAATAAGTAAGGCTTTAAACCATAATTAGTCGGAGACAACGTTTCAGACAATTTTATTCCACTATTTTTTTATTCCCAAACTATTTCAACATAATTTATTAAAATACTCTTATCATGTGTGTTTCAATTTTAAGTATTAGCCCACAGAACATGTTCTTGAAAAGATTTAAGCTGACGTGTTATAGACATGTTATCAAAAGATTGCCAATATATCCCCACATTTTGGTGCTCAATTTGCTAATCTGAAATTTTAAAGTTACTTCAAAACTCACTGGATGTTGGGCAATAAATTAATTTTTTACAGAGGCAACCACACTTCTTACCAGTCTGGCCATGCAGGACCAAAATAGTTTTAGGTAAGCTCAGCTCACATATTATACGTATTCACGAGTTCGACACATTTGTCTTTTTTGTCTAATGAAACATAGATGATGCATATGTCTTTTTTAATGCATTTGTCTCTTTTCATTTATATCTTTTATGATTAACAAATAAGATTTTTTTGGTTTAACAAAACAATGCCTTTTCTAACAAATTAATGGTTTTCTATATTAGAAAGTGAAGTATAATTTCAATTAGACTAAATGCTATTCCTTGTACAGGTCCAGCAAACTTATCAACAGTGTATTTCTAGATAACAGACAGCTCTGGATAACATACAACACAGAAGACTTATGCGGTTACGTTTTGGCTCCACAGAGAAGGCAGAACACTGCATATTGAAGAGCTCACAGCTAACATGACAATTTTTTTTTGCCTCTCCTCTTGCCTCTCAGGTTTCACATAGCAGCCAAATAACAGCTGCTGCAGTTCAGGGGAGGTTCCCCTCCTCTCATCCAGTCACACAATTCCATCCCTCTTTGCACTCTGTCCCTCAGCTGCCCAGATCAGCTTACTAAAACAATTTTTTTAAACTTATGTTTTTATCTGCTTGTTCAGCAAAATAAACTAAATTCACCAGGAGATACCATAAACATCAGAACTGTAACCCAGAAAAGCTGTGAGAAGAAAAAAGCCAGGAGAGTAAATTAAGACTGCTATTTTAGGAGCAGTGGAATCATTAAACTAGCTGCACCACATAATAAAACTTCATCCTTAGAGGAGTGATCTTTAATTAGCTGGAGACACTCTCTATTAAAGTCACATTTTCACTTTTAAAGAAATCTGTTGCCAGAATTTGCTTACAGTCAAGTAATTGGTTCCAATGCTCAGCTTCACAACGTCTTAGCAAATTTAGAATTTGAAGGATCTGTTTTCCAAAACTCACTCCCACATTATTCAAGACCACACATTATTTCCCAAGAACCAGTGCAGACAGAATGGGTTTTGACGGTACTAGCTTTGAATATACTAAGCATTCTCAGAACTTGACAGGCTTTTCTGGGAATGCCAAAATGATGAATAAACGTCACCAGCACCTACTGACTTTTTAAAGTTAGAAATTTGTAATACCCCGTATTTTTATAGCGGCAAAGAAACATTGTCAAGTCACACGACTGAGTTGTGGTGAATGAAGTTAAATCCATGGTAAATAATAGCCGGTGACGGGTGGTGTTCCCCAGGACTCAGTACTGGGGCCAGTTCTGTTTCTTATCAATGATCTAGATGAGGGGATCAAGTGCACCCTCAGTCAGTTTGCAGATGACCCCAAGTTGGGTGGGAGTGTTGATCTGCTCGAGGGTAGGGAGGCTCTGCAGAGAGACCTGGACAGGCTGGAGCCATGGGCTGAGGCCAACTGGAGGAGTTTCAATAAGGCCAAATGCCGGGGGCTGCCCTTGGGCCACAACAACCCCCAGCAGCGCTACAGGCTTGGGCAGGAGCGGCTGGAGAGCTGCCAGTCAGAGAGGGACCTGGGGGGATTGATTGACAGCCGGCTGAACAGGAGCCAGCAGTGTGCCCAGGTGGCCAAGAAGGCCAATGGCATCCTGGCTTGTGTCAGCAATAGCGTGGCCAGCAGGGACAGGGAAGGGATCTGACCCCTGTACTGGGCACTGGTGAGGCCGCCCCTCGATTCCTGTGTTCAGTTTTGGGCCCCTCACTACAAGACAGACGTTGAAGTGCTGGAGTGTCCCCAAAGAAGAGCAATGAAGCTGGTGAAGGGTCTAGAGAACAAGTCTTATGAGAGGTGGCTGAGGGAACTGGGGTTGTTCAGCCTGGATAAAAGGAAGCTGAGGGAAGACATTACCACTCTCCACGACTACCTGAAAGAAGACTGTAGCCAGGTGAGTGTTGCTCTCTTCTTCCTCAGGGCAAGAGGAAAGGGCCTCAGGTTGCACTAAGGGAGGTTTAGATTGGGTATTGGGAAAAAATTCTTCACTGAAATGGTTGTCAAGCATTGGAACAGGCTGCCCAGGGTTAAGTCACCATCCCTGGAGGTATTTAAAAGACACAACACTTAGGGACATGGTTTAGTAGTGGACTTGAAAGTGTTAGGTTAACAGTTGGACTCAATGATCTTAAAGGTCTTTTTCAACCTAATGATTCTATGATTCATCAATGATATCAAAACCATATCTGAAGTGAAATGCACAAGTTAAAGTAAGACCCTAAGCATCTATTTACTAGCCTGTAGCACTTACGTTCTGACTGAAACGGTATATCTTCCGACTGCTGTCCTCTGGGTCAGGAATCTCTCCATCACGATTAGCACTCATAAGAGCCACCAACTCTTTAGGAACAGAAATCTGAAAGAAGGTCATCCAACTATGAGGAATTCAGATGGCACACAGGATTATATAACATAATAAAAGCAGCGACAGTAAAAAGAGTAGCCCAGATTTGTTCCTTTGTTAAGTTCTCCCCCTCAAGTAGAATACAAAGCATAAAGAAAAATTTGTCTTAAAGGCTGGCAATATTTATTAAACCCAAAGGACTACCTGACAGGAATTGAAAGTTTTACTTTCTTCAGACTACTGAACTGTAATGTCACATTGGCCATCTTGCTTTTTGCTTCCTTAAACTAATCAGGCTATTTATGCCAGGGCTGCAAAGATCCTCCAACTATGTACCAGAGCATGTTACTCAAGGCATATACGAGAGTAACATCAAGTAATTACTCTACAGCACTCTTTGTTGTTTTACTGTCAGCTTTATCTGATTTAAGAACATTTTTCTTTCCTATTATAGCACTTTTCTTTTTGAAATAAAGATACACGTAAATGAAAAAAAGAGATGAGATAGATACATATAAAAAAAAAGAGAAAATGGTAAATCCAGAGAAATGACATAGGTTTTGGTTCTTATGTTAAGCTAGAAGTCAATATTCTTTGTTTTTATTTTAGACAAAAAGAAAATTTCACCCATTGTAGTAGTCTTTCAGACACACATGACTTAGGTTCATCTACCTCTGCATAGTATGTTAGTTTCACAGCAGGTGTGTCTTGGCATGGAAGGATGGCTCTGCAGTGGGTAGCCTGGAGAAAAGGAAAAAAAAGAAAAAGCTAAAACATAAACATCTTTCTAATGCAAAGGACTAGAAATATATCAAACTAATATATTAGATTGGAAATCTATTCAGCTCCTCCAAAGAATTCATTACTTAAAAGCCAATATTCCTTTCGTTTATAGCTTATAGTAGTTTTCAAAGTTAAGGGTTTTCTAAAAGAAATAATGGTAAGACAAATCAATAGTCACATATATTGACTGCAAAGGACTGCATGTTCTTCAACAAGAATACTGGAAAGCATAAAGCAGTTCTGGAATTATTAAATCGCAAATGTACTAAGTCAGGATATTGCTGAGATGTTATTAAGTGTTTTCATTTAGGACCTCTGACACACACCACTGGAAGTTATGGGCTACTGTACTTTTGCCTACCTGCCTTCCTCTCCAACTCTCTGGAAACCAGGGGGAATTAGTGGTAGGTAAACAACAACTTTAAAACAAAAGTAAAATTAATCCACTCAACCTGACACTGGCTGAAGAGAAATGGATGTTTCTTTCCAGACGTTTGCTCTGGGGAAAACCACTGGAGAGCTGAAGACTTTGGAGAGCTTTCAAAGGAGATTTCAACAATTGCTTCTTGTCCCCTGTGTAATAAAAAATATAGTCAGACTGTTCTGATGCAACTCCTGATCACTACTGAAATTCCTCTAAAAAGATTTCTGCAAAACAGGTCTGGAGCACTTTTTCAAAAGCATTAAAAATAAGAACAAGTAGCATATTAAAAACTTTTCCCTTTCAATTAGGATAATAAAAATTAGCCAGTTTGTTTCAACTTTCATGTCCCCAGACACTTCTATTACTGTTTTTACTAACCAGAAAACTCTTTCTCTCCTTTCTTCAAGCAGAACATGGACTTTTTCTTTAGACTATTTGGATGAGCCACATACACACAGTTTTGTCACAACTATCGAACATTGTACACATAAGTATAAAAAATCCCCACTGCAAAGAACAGAAAAGTGTATAAAGTCTATGTAAGAACATACATGCCTTAATGACATAGGATTTGTGCAGTCTGTAAATAAAAAATTCAGATTTTGCAGCTGTTGTTTTATCTGTAAGTATGATCCTTAAGCAGAAAAAAAAATACTGAAAATAGTAATCACTGAAAAACCCTATTAACAGTAGGGTTAACAAGAAAAATAAAAAATGTTCAAATTTTATTCAGGGTTTCAGAACTGGTGTAAAGTAAAATCTAACAGCTCTGTGCAAGACAGGTACTAGCTTGCTAACAAGAGAACACACACAAACCTGACACATTTATACTCTTACCATTTAAAAGCATATCAAAACCATCACTGACACCAAACACACACTGAAGTACTTGCTTCTGTTATCTGGAAGTTCCAGGTTATACATGCACTCTCTGGAATTAACAATCCAACCATAAATTGGAACAAACTTCAGCTAATCAGAGGAGTTGGAAGCTAGATAAGCTGACCAGGTATATGTATGTGGTTTATAACCAGTATTCCAAAGTACATATTTGACAAGAGAAAATAATTTGTAAGGCACATTGCTTACTGAACAGTCAGACTTTCAGTTGTAACTCCTACCCTTTCCTATTACTGTTTTATGGCTACTTACATGGAGAATTTTATCTCACACAAGATTATAAATTCTTATGATCACAACTCATAACTCCCTCTTTGTAGCTTTTTTCTTACAAGGAAATCCAGAAAAAAAAAAAAAAGCAAGCTGAAAGTCAAACAAAAGAAACAGGCCTATGTTTCTGCTGTGCCCTATTTAAGTACTTAATTTGTTTAGTTTCATATCAGATCATGTGTTTCCCCAGAAGGGACAACTATCATATGAGGTTGTTTCTCTTCCACATTATGTGTTTCTAAACTGCACTAATTCAGGGAACAAAAAACCAGTAATTAAAAAACAGACAGGAGTTAGTAGCAGTAATAACCAGTTTTGAAAAAAAAACAATAAGCAACTTAGCATACAATCTTATTCACACAAAGGAACTTCCTTACTTACACAACCACAGCTTTCAGCTTTGGTATGTGAGATACCATGGAGTTACAGCATACAAAGCAAATGGCCAAAACCCACACCGATTTGTCAACAACTTTTTATTTCATGAAACTTAAGAGGTTGATTATGGCCAGTTTACGCTCCATCACCCTGCCAAAACTCAAGTTCCCATTTTCAGGGACTTGGGCTTAGCTAATCGGTACAGTAAGAATTTTATTTGAAAACATGTTTCTATCTAATCATAGTGGTAACCTTCAGTTCTACAGAAATACAGGATCAATCCTTGTATAAAAGAAAACAAAACAGAGGTCTGTAACTCCATACATATACTGTAGCAATTCTGAACATGTCTAAATTCAGGTAGTTGAAGCAGAAAGAATATTAGTCTTATTAGCACTGGAAAAAAATGTGATACATTACACATCAGCTTGCTACTTAAATTTAGCAAGTCATTTTGCACATAAGACCTGGAAACAGGTACAGAGACTCCCAAAGTTTTGGCTGTCTGATGAAAGACAAATATTAAATGAATCTACAAAATCGTATACCAAATAAATGCAACTCCCTCATTTACAACTCCCTTTGCAAGCTTTACACAACCACCCTACAGGCAGACAAGCAGTTTATACAGTGCATTTTGGAAACTACCTCAAGGGACAGGCAAAAGCGTATACCTTCTTAGTTCAAAAGGAAGTGTGATTTCCAGGGGGGTCCCCTTGAAAGTGTGTTTTTCTCCAAAAACAAATTTTGCATCCTGTCCATTTACAGTCACTTTAAATACCTGTAGGTCTTTTGTATCCAAGACCTGTAATGAAGCAAATACTTGTTAAATAGTGTAGTAATGAACATAGCACTCATCACATCTTAAAACAAGTCTCTCTGAAGGAAAAACTATTTACTAAGTAGAAATCAGAAAAACTGAGCAACTCTGTTGAATACTGGGAATCAGCACTTTAAGAGAGCAGTACTGAACTTGCAAAACTGGAGGAGGAAAAGGAAAAAAACCCAACTCTGACCATAGAAGTGTAAACAGGAGTTTACTAACTAAACTACAAAGGTAAAAAGCTTCACAGTGCCACTTTGAAATGAAAATGATAGAAAAGCCCCTGCCAAGGCTTCCATCCTGGAACTAGCCACTATGAATCTAGACATTCATGCAACAGAAGATGAGTTAAGTAATGCAGCACTTCCATATGCAGCATTAGCAAAATTTGACTCTTTAACAGGACGGATTTTTTTTTCTAAAAAATAAGTGCCAATCACAAAAGGATTTTATGGACCTGCCAGAAAAATCGCACAAAGCCAAAACCTGACTTTGCATATGGAGTAAAGCTAAAGAGGTTTACACGTTTATTTGCACAGCTGAGAAAGTAGCCAGTGTAATAAAACACACACGTGGAAAAGCCACGAACGCAGCTTTCCAATGGTTTATTCTCATCTTTTCGGCAACAGGCTCTTCGCCATTTTAACGGGAAAACACCTATTTCTGCCCTTCCGTCGCACAACGCACCGGGTCTAGGCGCGACCGGCGAGAAACCGGGCCGCCCAGAGGCCGCGAGGCGCACGCAGGGGCCGCAGGCGAGCCCGACCGGCGCGGAGGCTCCAGTCGAGCAGGATCGAGGAGCCCGAGAGGCGGCTGCGGCGGGAGAGAAGGGCGCACCGGGCCGGCGGCCCCGAGGGAGGACGGGAGAGACGGCTGGGGAGAGGGAGAGGGAGAGGGGGTGTCCCGCCGCGCAGCCCCTGGCGCGGTGCC